ATTGTGTATCAAGCCTAGATTCAGAGTTTTTGGCAAAAACCTAAAATACTTTTGATTGACGTGTACATTAGCAGTTATTAGTTGACTTTTACTAATAAATGCACCTTTACGATGGTGTTTTTGTAGAAACATAAGTAGTCAAATAGTGATATTTCTTGCGGTTTTGTACAGTATTTGAGTCTAGTGCACAAATAGGTATTTCATAAAATCAATAAAAGGAGTATCTTATGGAAACAAGCAAAATCTCAGCCAAATTGCTATTCCTTTGCCTCATTTAATTTATTTTTCATTTTCTTTGTTTTAGTGTGATTCTATTATGTGCTTTGCATGATTGTGTAGTACCAAGGTCACAAATGCATCTGCTTAACAGAATCCTCCGCGAAGACAGCCTTGACATTAAAATTCCCTCACGAAAGGTAATCCATAATTCTTAATAAAATGAAATAAAATTGTGATATGAGCCAAGAAATGTATTTCTTTAATTCCCTTCCAATTACATTTTTCTTTGTCATCTAAATAATTTTAAAATGTACACTTTATTAAGACAGTGAGATAGAAGGTATGCCACTTTTTTTTAAACGTAGCATAGCTCTTCTGTGGGAGGTGTGCAATTATATGAATAAAGGATGCAATGCTTCGAGGCAAGCAATACAGTGTTTTGCAGAGTATGCATTATTAGACACTTAGAGAATACTTTCCTGTAAGGCCTGCATTGCACTCTTAATGTCTGACTATAAATTATATATTTGTAAATATATACATATGTAAAAATAGTTGTAAATAACAGCTTGTGTGTGACAACAGAGAAGGCTCTCCAGTACTTTGGGCAAAGGGCTGCAATTACATTGATGGCCCCAGTTCATTAACAGTTATGGCAGATTAACAAGAAAACTTGTTTTCGTATTGTTATTCTGATTTTTAATTTCAATTCTGGTTTGAGCTAATGACAATCTGACCCTTTAGATTTTTCCAGGGATGTGGATCAGACTCCTCTGTGACTTTTGTGAGGACTTAAAAATTAAAGTCCTTTTAAAAATTGTCTTATTCTTTCAAAATTTAAAGAAGTCAAAAGGAGATTTTGCTCTTGTGGAGAGTGAGGACTCTCCATGGAGAAAGGAGTTTTAAATGACAGAGGCAAATCCTTTACACTTCTTCTCCCTTCCATTAACCAGTCTAAAAACAAAATGAAGATGACAGGAATTCATGCCAGTAAGGATAACATTTTAGGAAACAAATTTTGATAAACTCTCATTGGTCCTTTTTGCCCGTAAAATTACACCTATTTTTGGCAGTTGTATAATGACATAAAGAGTTATGGTATGTACAAAATGTAAATACATGTACAATATATAATCTCATTATTGTATAGCTACGACTCCGATTCACTATTCATTAAAAATATTTTTTCCTCCTGCTGTATGCCATGCCCTGAATTTGGTATTAATTATCATTCATCTCACATCCACTGAATTTAGTTGAAAATTAAAGTACATCTCATTCTTATAATGACATAAAAGAATATAGGAAACATGGCTCGGTGCC